CTTTTGCTCCAGTGGCTTCTGATTGCTTCATAGTGCTAAGAGTTAACCCCTTGTGCCATTAGAGAAGCCCCTGATTTTATTTTCATCTAAGACTTCCTAAAATGACTCAAACCAAGATTAGAATCTAATGACAGAAAATGCACCTATAAGTCCTCCATTTTATTCAGTAAATTCTTAGCCATTTTACCAGCAGTAAATATCCTATCCATGACTTTGATTCTTCGCAACAGGACTGAAAGCAGAACCATGGCCCCGTTAGTGTTCAGCTTTTCATATTAGATGGTTGAAATAAATGACCTCTACAGTCCCTATCAGATTTCAAAATCTATTCCAGGTCTCCCTAAAGATTTTATTGGGTTAATTTAATTTAAAAAGCCATTTCTATAACTTGAGAAAAGTACCAGCTTTAGGTGATGATGACCCTTGACCAATAAGCATTTCACTTATCTACCAATGGAAACTTTTTCCTTCTCACCATTGGTGTGCCCAGACTCACACTGAGAGTTCTCCATGTACAATCACCTCCTACATGAACTCTCTCATGTAACCCTAAATGCAGCCCCATACTTCCTCCTGAATTTCAGGCTGAAATATCCAGCCTGTGCCATATCTCCAGCTGGAAACCTAAGCTTAATAAATCCAAAGTAAATTACAGATTTCACTGAATCCTTCCCAACAGCCATCCTCATCCAACTACATAATTCCCTCATTCACACAACTCCTTGTTATTCTCAGTCAGACACATCCTTCCCCCCACCACAACTTGGCCCTTCTTGTTCCCTCTAGAACACTCTTCCCTGGGATAGCCACAGGATCATTCCCTCACTTCCTTAGATCTCTTTTCAAATATCATTCTACCAGAGGGCCTTCCCTAACTATCACTTGCTCCCATTATTCTCTATTAACATAAGATAAATGCTTATTATCTTTCCAAATTTATGTTTAAACCCTAGAACTCAAAGCCCTGGTCTTTGAAGGTGTGGTCTTTGGAAGGTTAATTAGAGTTAGTAAAAAGAAGACATGAGAGTGGAAAACCCATAATGGGATTAGAGCCTTTCTAAGAACAGGACCAGAGTCCGCCCTCCCTGCCTAGTGAAGCAGAGGGCCTTGGCCATAACTTGACCTTGCTGGCAACCTGAGTTTGAACTCCCCAGCCCCCAAAGCTATGAGAAAAAAGCATCTGTTGTTTAAACCATCCTACTATTTTGTTATAGTAACTCAAGCTATCCTTACTCTTCATAGCACTTAAGTATTTATTAGCCTAGGATATATTTTTCCCCCAGGAAAAAAATCTATGAGGGTGGAGTCATTTTTAAAAGTATTTTTAAATATGATTCCTTGATTTTCCCAAGATTCAACAAATATCACTGAATAATTCTATTTTTTAACTCCACTACTGGCAACTAATGCAAACTTGGTTATTGATGCCATTATTTCCAAGGAGAGCTTTTCACATTCCACCACCCCCCCAAATGGATAATTCTTAAGCAGTTAGAGTTGCTCCTGGCTGACATGATAATTACATCTGAAATCTGAAAAGCAGTAAAAACTGTAATTTGCTTAAACCCAGGCATAAAACAAATAGAAAAATACATTTTCTTTTCCCCTTTTTGGTCACTGAAGCTAATGCATAATAAAAACACTAATTCAGGGGCCCTCCCTGGTGGCGCAGCGGGTTAAAGCACTGCACCGAGAAGCTAAAGCCACTTCCACATGAGTTCGATCCCACCTTCCCCGGAGGAGACCACATGGCGTGGCAGACCTCTCCTGACCCACCCACTGCTCCCCTCAGCAGTGTACCTCGTTGATCTGCCTGTTCTGCTCCCCACTCTGTCTCTGGTAAAGTCTCTCACTGCCCCTGAGTCTCTGGTCTGTACCCCAGTTCTGTATGTACAAATAAATAAATCTTTTTTTAAAAAAAAACACTAATTCAGGATTGGAGAGGACAAGAACTTTTGAGAAAACTGTTTCTTGGGACAAATTAAAGGTTTTTGTTTTTCTACTTTCTGATCCTAACTGTGGTAACTTTAAATTTGAACTGATAAAAAATTCTGAACCTCCTAGGGTCCATTTGTTAGACAAAATATGAGGAAATGTGGCCTACTATCAACTTTCTTTCTTTCTAAATGGCTGTTTGAATGCAGCTAGCAGTGTAAGTGACAAACTGGAGGAGCTGGTTCTACCACCTGCCCTCTTGCCTGTTACCCTGTTACCGGATATCTCCATTTGGATGGCAGAACCAACCACTGGTGTAACAGGATTGGGAAGTTGCCCAAACTGAGCCCCCAAACATAGGCACTCTCATGTTCAGAACATGGAAGTTGGAACAAATCACTACTTGACATATGCTACTTGCATAATTTCACAACAAAACAGAAAAGGGAGCCCCAGACAAAAGAAAATAAGAAGAAAAATCAACATGAAACCACTCTATAACATCTTTTCTTCGAATCAAGCCAAGAAATGGAAAACATGAGTGTGCACCCCAGTTTTATCCATGGATTCAGATAGTTTTACTTTACCAAGATTTCCACATTTGGTTTCTGGCAAAAAGAAAAAACAATGTAAACACTTTTTTTTTTAATGTAGTATAATTCATTTTCTTAAAACAACCTGTGTTTCTTATTAGCAAGACTGCTTTTTGTGTGCTTATTCTGTTTAGACAAAACTGTATGGACAATTAATATAAATAGTTACCATCTGCCAAAATGATATTAATAATCACTACAGACATGTGTTTAGCACCTCTTTTGTGACAGGCTAATGCCTCTGAGAATCTGCATGTTTATCTCTACAGCTTCAAGGCAAACCTTTAGGTGACCTCTTCTAATTCTTAATTCAGCAGCTATTAATAGGATAAAAGCCTTCCATAACAACAAATTTAAATATCCTTTCCTGACTGGGGGAAGTTAAGAGCTATATGGAAACATTTGCCAAGTGAATTAGCTTCTGGGCCTACAGCCCTTAGTGAGAATGATTGGGAGTTTCCAGTCATACCTCCTATAGAAAATTAGCCTCCTAAAGACTCCTTTTCCTTTTTCTGAAAGTAAGCCATTATGTAGCTACAGAACACCTAAGTGATATCCAGATTTTTTAAATATTTAACTCAAAGCTGCTAAGATTAATTTTTAAATTGACTGTGAGGTGTGTGTGTACACTCTTCCTGTGAAAGGGGAGGAAGTATACAATATTTTGTACCAGAATTTTACAGTGCATCCGTATAAAGATGCTTTTGTTCTTGGCGGAGGGGAGGTACAGTAGTTGGAGGGTGGCGAAGCACTGGTGGAGTTCTTCTGAGAAGCCAGGCTCAGGAAAGAGTTCAGCTACCCGATGCTTAGTCGCCAGGCACCAGTCGCCAGGCACTTCAGTTAAGGTATAGGGCAGTGCTTGGGAAACTCAGGTCCCAGGTCAACTGGGGACCCAGCGGAATTTGTAACCCCCGCTGGCTGTCCGAATGGTGAAGGCATTGCCCTGGGGGAAGGCGAGAGTTCGGATGGTACAGTGGCTGCGGATGGGGGTGCTGAAGGAGCCGCCCTCCTCCAGCTCGCTGCGGCTCAGGTTCAGCGCGCTCCGGCTGCAGTCCGTGCGCAACCCGCGGAAAGCGCCGTGCAGATTCCCAGGCCTGCAGTCCTCGCTTCCCGGCTCCGACTGGAGCCGGAGCCGCTTAGAATCACGGCTCCGCAGGGCTTCATCGCAACGCTCAGAAATCTCCCTCAGAATGGCATCCACTTCTGCGCAGTCCTGACCCGCAGCGCTGAACAACTCCTCCAGGCTCCTTTTGGCCGTCGCCTTAAGCAAGCAGGGCTCTGCCGCCGCTCCGCAATCCCGGGACTGCGTGATCATCAGCTTCTACAAAACATCACGAGGAGAGCCTGGGGCAGCCGGACCCGCCTGGAGAGCCGCGCTAGGGAGACCTGGGTGCCCTAAGCCCCGCGCCGCTCCGCGGATTTAGGAGCCTCCCCCGCACCCATAAGCCTTGAAGAAAACCTGAACTTTATTGAAAATCACAGAGAGCTATAAAAATTGTACTTTAGGAGCCTCCCCCCCCCCCCCCCCCACCCCCCATCCTCGCAAGTGACTCAGCGAGCTCCCAGCGATCCTCCCCTTTCCCCAATCTCCGCGGGATGGTCTCTGGGCGCGGGTCAAGGATTGGGCAGGAATGTGCACAGGAACATTTCTGATCCAGCAGTGTTCCACACGTCGGCGCCACACTTACGTCCAACACCGAGGCCAAGTGCCGGGTCCGACTGGCGAGTTCTTTCAGCTGTACGTTGCGCTCCCGGAGCGAGGCGATCTCCTCCTGTTTCTGAGTCAGCGTCACGTGCAGCTGTAGGAGGCAACCCAAGCATTCAGAGGTAGGCCACCGTGCTACATCTCGGCAAGTGTACACTATGTATGAATTAAAGTCACATCCTTGTGGCTAATCAGGAAAGGGGTGCTCAGGGAATGCACATTGGTGAGAATAATCATTTTTCTTTATTTGACATCTTTCTAGACAAATGTGTCCTCAGTGTAGCGTGGTGATGAAGAATACTGATGTAGGCAGTAGGTAGAGCTAGATTCTACCTTTGAGGCTCAACCCCTTTAATCCTCGCTTATCTGTAAAGTAAGGGGCTAGTAAGGTTCTCCCTGGAGACTCGTTGAGTTAAAGCGCAACACCATGAAGCTGTGCGCAACAACTGCAGCACAAATTTGATTCCCGGCCAGAGAACGGATGCACATAGCAAAGCAGACCTCTCCTGACTAAGCCGGCTGCTGCTCCCCTCAGCAGTGCATTTCTATCGATCTTCCTCTTCTGTACCCCACTCTGTCTCTGGTGAATCCTCTCACCCACCACACCTCTGGCCTATACCCCAGTTGTATGCATAAAAAGGAAAAATAAATCTTTTTTATTTTTAAGTGGGGTTAGTAAGAGTATCCGGCGCAATTGTTATGAGTATTAGAGGAGAAAGTAAAGTGGTAAGCATAGAACTAGACATAGATAATATTCTAAAATATTGGTGACCTTATTTTAAAAAAAAAAAAAATCTCTTGCACTGGCCCTCCCTGGTGGCACAAAGGGTTAGGACACAGCACTGCAAGCTGGCTGCAGCCGCTTTAGTGCGAGTTTGATCCCTGGCCCTGTTGGGAAGTGACCCACATGGCGTAGCAGACCTCTCCTGACCCACCCTTGCTCCCCTCAGCAGTGGGAGTTCTATCCCCAGCCAGCCCCAAGGTGATCCACACGGCCAGCTGACCTCTCCTGTCTTGCTCACTGCTCCCCTCAGCAGTGTACTTCAAAGATCTGCCTGTTTTGCTCCCCACTCTGTCTCTGGTGAATCCTTTCACCGCCCCTGCACTTCTGGCCTGCACCCTAGTTCTGTATGCATAAAAAAATAAATAAATAAAATTGTAAAAAAAATCTCTTGCGGTAGGATTATTCCCATTTAGGGAAGGTGGAAATTGAGGTAGAGCCCCTGAAGCAGCAACAACTACATGTACCACTGGCTGGTCCACCGATGTCCAACAGGGGTCCATTCCCACTCCTCCACATCCTGTCCCCACTCCTGGAGTCCTGGCTGCCAGCCTAGTGTCCCTACTTGGTTATTCTCAACGAGGGCGTCCCCCAAAGCTCTCTGGTTCTGGTCGGCCACCTCCTTCCAGTACTGCTCTGGCTGCGCCGGCACATCTGGAGGGTGCGGTGGCGGTGACTGTAGAGCAGATGATTCCAGACTTGGAGAGAGACAGTGCTCAAAGGACAATACTTCACCAGGAGAGAAGGGGAAGTCTTCGCAGACCAGGGGAGGCGACATCAAAGACGAAGAGTCTGAGGAAAAGTGAGAGCTGGGTTTGCAGCCTCAAACTTGCCACCCAGGTAGCTATAAGGACAAAATGCCAAGCCTGATGTAGCATTTGTAGGGAGATTCTTCTTTATTAAGCAATCCTCTCACTCTGCAACCCCTGAGATCCCCAAGTCCTTCCTGCTGTACTGCACATACACAGCAGATGTTCAGTGTGTGGCCAGCCCTTAAGCTGATCTGAAATTTCCAAGGGACTAGGGCAAACCTGTGTGAAGTCACACACGTTTGCACGCTCCTGTCACTCAATCCCTTCCACACACACACCACAACGTAGAGTACCTTCTCCCAGAGCTCACACCTGTAAGATTCATTCAGGGTTTCATCTTCTCCACTAGAAAGGGTGAAGGTAATAAATATGGAAAAGCCTGATCCTTTGATGAGTTGCTGGCTCAGGTGCTACGTTTACCACCTTTACGAAATCTGAACTGCTTGACACCCCCATCCCTCCATTACTTAACTGCAAGGAAGACAACACTTACCTGCTATGAGATCGTCCACCGTGTCTCTGAAATCCTGCAGAACGAAGTCCGCTGCGGTTTGCAGGCATTGGTCCTGAAGTAAACCACAGAAGTAAACTAGTTAACGTCGAGCCCTGCGGGTGCGGAACACTTTTTAGGTCTGCATGCCCTCGCGTTTGCCTCAGAGCTTCCTACTTGAAAGTCAAAGCCCCAGTCCAGACCCGGTACCCAGCCACGGTGAGAAGCGGGGTCCAGTCTGCCAGGGTCCTGCAGGGCTCTGAAATTGTGCGCGGCCGTGTTTCTGGCGTGGCTCCTTCCGCGTGCCTCACGGTGACCCCAGCGGCTACCAGCAGCGGGGACAGTGGTCGGCCTCCTTGGTCGGCCACCAGCCCACATCTGCATGGTGCTTGGGTGCAGCCCAGGCGCGTTCCAGGCGCAGTTTCTCTAACTCAACGCCAACTTACCTCTGAGCCATTGCTCTGTAAGAGGGTTTGGGCGAATACCCGGTCTCTACCTCCCCCCCCACCCCCTCAAAACCCCCCCACCTCCTTCCTGTTCTCAACCAGACAAGTTTCACTATCATCTAAAGCGCACAAACAAGCCAACCCCTCCCTATAAAGGAAGGGAAGGAATATGGTTTGAGGAGCCTGGCTGCTAAGAAAGTGTTTATGTTCAACACGGGCTGGGGGGGAGGGGGGTGGCAGGAACGTGGGGAGGGGGAAGACTCTTTTCAGGTTTTCAAAACATTGAAGTTGACCTTTCAGGTATAGCAATGCCTCCAACATTTTGAACTGGGCACCCTGCTGGATGCTGGAAGCAGGGGCAGTAAAGGGCTGGTGCCCCAAGACTCTTATTCCTAATTCCTGTACCTCTGGTGTTGACAAAACCCTTTTATATCAAGTTGCTCAGTTAATTCTCACACCAATGTAGGAAGCAGGTACGGCCCAGGAGGTCATTCCACTTCCCAGATGGAGAATCTGACAATTAGTGAAACTTAATTGCCCAAAGTCATCCAGCTCTGAAATAGAGTTAGGGTTCCTGCCCCAGAATGATGATACCTATTTCAAGCCTCTTTCTCTATCCCAAATTGCCCCATCAGTGAAGAGGGCTATCAATGAAAGGGAAAGGAGTCTCTCAAGGGGCAAAGTGGGTGGAGGCATACGCAAATGTCCACCAAAAATATCAGTTCCACAGTTACACTGTTATTGATTCATTCCTTTCTGTTACTCATACTTTCTTCTCAAAAGTCCTTTACTAATCAAATATTTCTAAGATGGGAAATTTGCTGTAACCCTAATTTAAAAAAATATACAGGTAGGTCCCTCCCTAGTGGCACAGGGCCTTAAGTGTCTGCACTATGAAGCTATTGGCAGTCACTGCAGCATGAGTTTGATTCCTGGCCAGGGATCCCACATGGTGCAACAAACCTCTCCTGTCTCACCTCTGCTCCCCTTAGCAGTCAGTCTGCCTGTTCTGTTCCCCACTGTCTGGTAAATTCTCTCTCTCTTTCTTACACACACACACACACAACTCTGGCCTATACCCCAGTTCTTGTATGCATAAATAAATATATTTTTTAAAAGAATAAACAGGTGAAGTTTTCCTCAAGGGGAAGAACCTCCATCAGGGAGGCCTCTAGCACCAATTAGAACTGAGAGGGGAAAGGATCTTAGGACAGAAGGACTGAGGGCCTCAGACAAACCCTGAAGCACAACCTCTCTGGTTTAAGGAATCAGAAATGAGATGTTTTCCAAGGGCTGAAAGGTCTCCCTCCCAGTTCCCTCAAGAACTAGGGCCCAGGAAAGGCTTTCTCCCTTGAGGCCCACTGTGGACCTCAAACACTTCTAGAGCACTTCAGCAGGAAGGAGACTGAGCAATGTGAGCAGGGTGTGCATTGGCCAGGGGTCTCCCCCAAGGGAGCTTCCCAAGGGGCCTCTCACCCTCTGCATTAGTTCTGTCTTCCCAGGAAAACTGGACCTCTTGAACAATCTGATATGAGCTCTGTGCTTGTAACTTCCTAATTTGATCAAATCTGGCATTTCTCCAATTATAATAATCCCAGAATAAGGCCAATACTGAACATGATGTCAAATTTAAGTTCAATATACTTAAGCAAAAAATTAGCAAGAGCCTGCTTGGATTTTATTTTTTGAAAGATAAATACCTTGGAATAGGGGAGAGAGTAGGCCTGTGGATCAATTGAAAGATGCTCAGGCATTGTTTTTCCTTATTTGAAATTCCAGATCTCAAAAGAACAATCAACTGCTTCTGCAGGACAATGCTCACTCCCACCACTTTTCCTTCACAATCACCTATCCCAACTTTCCCTGGTTTATCCCAGGGTTCCTGAGGCACTTAGAGGAGGACCGGGTATCTTTGCTCCTCCACCAACCCCACTTCTGGTAAGTGTATGTTATATTTTCTAAAGAGGTTTATATAGGGCCTGTCCCCATGTATTTCATGTCTGCAGCACCTGCTGCCAAGAAGCTGGAACTGGCATTCTTTTTTGGGTTGCATCTAGATAAGACGCCCCTGTCCTTCTGCTAGGTGACCAAGACTTCTGGCACCAGATATCAGTGCTGCAGGCTCCAATCTGTACCCGGCCATTGCCAGCCCCAGCAAGCAGTAGACATACAAGGACGAAGACAAACTTATTGGAAAAAGAAAAAAGTCAAATGCCTCGTGCTTCCTGCGAGAAAATAATCAGAACCTTTGGAAAAGAGCACTTTTTAAGTGTTCACATGCTGAAGAGTCATCTCTAAAGAAAGAAGGGTTTTGTGTTAGATTTCCTCCAGGGTCCTTGTCCTTTCTCCCATCTACTCCAAATACAAATGTTCTTCCTCTTTTCTAGTCTTGAGCAGAAGTTACCCATCGATCTCCACTCCCCTTAGATACCCACGGAATGAAAATAGTTAGTGAATGGCCAGAAAGGAGATAGTGAAGTAACAAGCAAGATGCGTATCAGGTGTCCAGCGTACGCCTTTGCTCCCACCCATCGCTTGATCCCTGGGTGGGAAATCTGCTTGTTGCTCTGTCGTAGCTCCAGGTAATAATATAAGTGACACTGATCCAGCAAGTGAGCCCTCCTGGCAAGCCCCTCTGTCGCTACTGCTCTGGGAAAGCATAAGATAGTAGGGAAAAGGAGCAAGTTCAGAGTCCGGAGATTCTGGTTCCCGCACGACTTCTCCCTCACTGGCGGGCAGTACTTGGCGCTCTCCGCCCCAGCCGACCCCTCACGGGAACGAACCCCTGACTCGGGAGAGGAGTTTGGGCCGCCAGAGGTCTCCCGAGGCTCCCAGAAGGGCTGGTACCTGCGAGGCTGCCGAGTGATCACTAGGCGGCGCATCGGACCCGAGTAGCGAGGAGCAGTCGGCGAGGTCCTGCAGGTCTATGGTGGTAAGCGCTGCGCGGGGAGAACCGAAGACACGCGCGGGTGGACCCTGAGATTCCCCCAAGGGTTCGCCGCTGGCATGCCCGCTAGGACATCCGCAAGAGAAGCTCCTCCGCGCCGCGTGCGCCCCCTCCCTCTCGGTGCGGGGTACCTAATCGATGGCGCAGGGCGTCGGGGCTCACCAGGCAGCGCAGCGGGTTCCGCGACTGGGGGATCCTGGTACACCGACACCGGACTGCTGCCGCTGCAACCCGGGAAGAACTTCCGCGGAGGGGCGAACTAGCCGGGCACAGGAACAGTAAGCGCGTATTACCCGCAGCCCCAGAATTGTGCGGACCCCTCCCGGCCCTGGCCCCGCAGCCCCACCTTTCTCTCCAGTTTCCCGGCTTTGCCGAGGGACCGGCCCGGCAATTCCAGCATCCTGTTGGGACAGATGCTATCAAAAGCCCGGCGTCCCGCCGCGCCGCCGTACGCCTGCATTCTGCCTCCCCGCGCGCTCAGGTCTGAGAGCTCCGCGCCGACTGCTCGGAGGCGGCGGCCGGGGCTGGGGTGGTGATTCACTGAAGCGTCCGGCCCCGCGCCTGCAGGCTCTGAAGTTTCCCGGTGGTCGGGGCTGGCGCGTGGCCTGGGAGGAGCCAAGCGCGGGCTGAGGAGGTGCCTTGGGAGGGCCGAGCGAAGTGGGAGGACCGCGGCGCAGGAGGGGAGGCCGGCGTCTAAGCGCCAGAGGTGGCGCCTTCAGCCCCGGACAATCTGCGCGCGGGCGGAGGCGTTAAGCCCAACCTGGCAACGCGGCTTCCCCCGGGAGCCGCCAGAGCCGGGCCCGGGCCCGCCAGCGCCCTTTTGGCGAACGTTGGCGCCGCCCGCTCCCCGCTGCGCCACAAGACCGCAGGGAAGTAGGGGCGCTCCAGCCTCACTGGTCCTAGTTCAGGGTACAACCTTCTGCTTATGGACAGCCGGGAGAAAGAATTAACAATTCTTAATATTCTTTACTTCCCACCCCAGCCACAAGGTACGAAATAAAAGTGGATGTCACTCGCTAAAGCCAGACTGCGGCATTTGCCTCGACCTGGAGGATTTGAGGGGAATCTAGAATTCGTTAGGGACTCCCCAAATAGCACCAGATTATAGACGCCCCTTCCACCAAGACTGGGGAACATTCACAGTCTCCACTTTCTGACTTCCACTACGTCTTCGCGGTCCTAGGGCCTAAAGCCCTGACCCGGACCCCTAGCCCGGTATTTCCCTCGCAGCAGAGCCTGAGATACTTTAATAGAAGGTCAGTTAAGAAAAACGAGCGTTTTCAAGCTCTCCACCAGTTCTGAAAACGCTATAGTGGACAATCCCAAATCTCCTAAAACCCTGATCTCGATCTCACCCGATGTGTCTACCTAGCATTTAAGGCACAGTCTGTCCAGCCGGCCTCGCTCTCTCTGCCTCAGTCTTTTTTCTCTTTTTAATATATATATTTTTGTACTGAGGTCACCTTGATTTGCAACATTATATATATTAACAGCACCTGCGCTGCCGGCAAGCCCGGTGGCCCCCCCCCCAACCATCTCTTAGGTCATGTCACCCCACTAAACGGCACCCACCATCACCCACCCTTGTCCACTGGGCTCCTTGTTCTCTTTGCTGTCCACCTTCCTCTTCTGCTCCGTTCTTGACTGCCTTTCCCTAGACCAGAAGACTTTCCAGGAAAGGATTTCTTCAGACCACTGGGAAAGGGGGTCTGCTCAGGACCATTCATATTCACCTAATCTGAGCAATCACTTGAAATTGCCATCTTTTTGATATTCCATTGGGCAGTTTATGTGTACCTTATGGGGAGTAGCAGTGAAAGAGCCTCTTAAGAGTATTGTGATTCTTTTATTTGCACCGATTATCTGGATGAATAAACAAGATATCACTAACAGTGATGGTGACTAAACTAAAAGCAGAGATACTATAGTTTTAGAAGTTTTCTGGCTTATCTGTAGATGTGGAGCCCAGTTGAGGTGAGGTCACCTGTTAGAGTTGGCCCAGTAGGATCAGAACCTCTGAAGTTATCATGAACCCAGTTCTTTAGGAAAATATAATCTTGACTTCAATGGAATTGCTATGAAGATGAGATTATTTATGTCAAGTGACCTACTCTTGGTTGGGTCCATTAATATTGATGCTTTATAGAGAATTTTTTTCAAAGATTTATTGATGCATACAAGAACTGGGGTATAGATTAAAGGTGGGAGTGTGGGGCTGGGTTGAGAGGATTCACCGGAGACTGAGTGGGGAACAGAACAGGCAGATTGACAGGAATACACTAGTGAGGGGAGCAGAGGGTGAGACAGGAAAGGTCCCCCTTAAAGAGACTTTTTAGCTGCAGTGTCAGTCCCCTACAGCTGCCAATGGCTCCTGTCCAGTGTTCAGGCTCCTCTGGTTCCTGAGTAGCCTATCTACTTACTACCTGCACAGGTGTTCTTACCAACTTCCCTGTCTATAAAAGAAGTAGAACTCTTGAGTTTTGGGGAGATGCTATATATCAACACCATCCTAGATTTTCTAAAACAAGTCCATTTTTTACCAATGAGTTCCAAATTGGAGTAGAAGAATATGGGCATTCTACACAGAAAAGTATACAATAGTTAACTGTGGCAATAGATACTGGAATAGCATGATTATATGCTGGACTCCTAGCCTGGATGATTCTGGAACCATATCACCCAAACCTATTTTGCCTAGGTGGTAGAATAAATGTTGGTGAAGACAACTCCCCAATCATTCTTTTGGAGAAAGCCCACTTGTTCTCCCAATAGCCAGACTAGGAGTTTCAGAAGTTTTGTGACTTGGGACACACATGATTTTCCTCCTCCTTTATTAAACCAGCTTTCCCTCACATAGCTTGAGGATCCAATAGCCTCTTCTCCTCTCACCAAAGTTGAGAGGAAAGAGTTCCTGCAGAGTTTAACCTATTAATATATCAGAAGAGGGGTTTAGAAGCCCAGAGTAAAGTAGCCCCTTGCTCTGGAGTGTACTTGTGAAGTTCAAGGAAGATTCTCTAAACTGGTTTTGAGTTTTGTTTATTTTTAAAATTTGTTTTACTTTGTCATGTATTTGGATTTATTCTAAATACAGTAGCACATGGTTGAGGGTTTTGTTCCCCCAAACTGTAAGCATACAAAATATTTTAGGGGGAATAGTATAGTAACAGCATGCTCCCCTGATATTAACATTTTCCTTTATTTGTTTTCTTTCTTTTCTCCAAGCCTTTTTGTGTACCCATTTCCCCATCAGCCTTCCATCAGCCTTGATTTCTTGAAGACTTGCCATGTGCTAGCATCTGTGCTGAGGGGTCTATACAGAACACCTCATAAAATCAACCCTACCAAAAAATGTTCATCTTATTTCCACTAATACAAAGACTTATGTATAATGATGTAACGTGCTTATGGTCATCCAACAATTTGATTCCAGAACACACGTGTCATCACTACTGGTATTGCCTCACAACAATTTCATGGAGGCTTTTCAACAGACCTGGTGTCAATTGTTAAGCTCAGAGAGGTTAGGGAATTTGCTGGAGCGAATAGCTGAGACTCAGGTGTCTACAGTAGGTAAGATGGGACAGTTGTGCAGTCACAAATCTCTACTAGCAAACCTGTATCTTTTCTTGACTCAGCTATCCCACCTGTAAAATAGCTCCTGTAACAAGCTAGAAGGCAGAGACTCCATAGCTTCTCCAAATACGTTCTCTGTCGTCCCTTTTGGATGGGAGGTACTGAGTAACTTGTCCCACACCTACTTCAGGAAAAGGGTCTTTTTATTTAAGCATTTCTAGAAACTTGGGAGTGGTGTGTGTGTGTGTGGGGGGGTGAGAATTAGGCAGTATGGCCAAGTGTGGGACTCTGCATTCAGATCACCCTCTTTCAAACCCTGGTTGCTCCACTGTCATTTAACCTCTCTGATCCAGTGTTGTCTCTGAAAAATGGGACAATACACTACCTCATAGAACTGCTGGGTTGGGATAATGCATGCTGAATAGCCTCAGATATGTTGTAAAAGTCCAATATTAGCCATGACTACTATTATGCCTTTGTTGCACTGGGCTCTCATGAAGCAGGCGTAAGAAAAGCCTGAATTGTTGAACCATGTGATTGAAGGGCAAATGGGCTAGACTCATAATAGCCATAACTGCAGGCAAAAACCTTCATTTTCAGCACCATTTACTTGTGGGGGCTGCTCTTGTTTGCCCCTTTCTAGTGGACCAGCACAGTCTGCCCTCCTTGCAGTGGACCTATGTGCATTCTATTTCACTTCACATCCCACTGTGCCCTTTACCTCTGGGGGGTTGCTCAGTCTTCAGCCTCAGGATCATTGGATACAGGGTGCAAGTAACCCTAATTGACCCCTGTAACTGGAACCAAGGATTCAGGACTTGCCAGACCTGGCTTTGCTGCACAAAGATGCTAACCATAGAATGGACAAACAGGAACGAAGGCCCCCCTCCTCAATCACTGCTAGCCACGTCTATTCTTGGGCTGCCCTCACTGCTAGCCACGTCTATTCTTGGGCTGCCCTCACCGTCCCTGTTCATGGATAAACACACCCAATAGCCACAGTCAAATCAAGACAGTCTGTTTATTTGGGGGAAACACCACTTTAGTGAAATCTCAGTAAAATAAATACATGACTACACATTATCTTACACTATTTACAACTTGTAGGATGAAATGTTGACCTAGAAGCCTTGAATCCTATTTGTGAATTCTTTTCAAGGCAAATGGGTGAGGTCAACAGCCACATCACGGGATAACAGGATAACAAGGGTCTACTTTATTTCAAGTTTGGGAGAAGGCTGCACTTCTCGCAGATCTGAGTGGGGAGCATATGAGTCAGGGACTTGCCGTTAATGGCCACCAGCAGCTGCAACTTGCCCAGACAGTCCTGCAAAGCTTCCTCGGGATGCCCCACCAGGCATAAGTCCACCCGGTGTGGCAGCTGCAGCATACGGTCAGCAAGCGCCAGGCAACAGATGGCCAGCAGGGAGGGGGCGTAGTTGGTGAAGGCGTAGTCGGCTAGGCTCAGCTCCGCCACCCCGCGAGCCAGAGTTTGTGCCTCCAGGGCTTCTGAGGCCTCCACCTGTCCAGCCTCCACACGCGCTTGGGTAAAATGCTCCAGGAAGAAACTGATAGTTGGCGCGCCCAGGCTGAAGTGCAGCTTGTGCAGTACGATGCATTCGAGGTTGCAAAGCTGTTGCCGTGAGAAGGCACCACAGCACAGGGCCAGGAGCTGTTTCACCCGAGGCGGGTGCACCTCCACCTGTAACACAGGGGCGCTCAGCCCCCACCGTGCAGCATCCAGAGCTAGATCCACCCCAGTCTTAAAGAACTCCCGCCACACCATCCCTTCCAGCGAGTCAACTGAGGTTTCACTTTGCATTACTTAAATTTAAATTACCTGGGCATACTTGCAGCTACTGTCCAGTAGTTTCTTATAAGGCATAAGACATCTTGACCCCACCCTATGCCCGCTAAAATAGCAGCACTATACAGACGTGTTGGAATTTACTTCAGCCTTTTTTCTTTGGGGATTGGGAGGAGGGGGGTGTTAGTTTGTGGGGGAATAGAATTGTGATGTTAAGGCGGTGGGAGTGTGTAAATTTGCAAACGTCTGGCAGACGTTTATCCGAGAACCCAGCACTGAATCTGCGCACTAGAGAGCCAGAGCTGGGAATTTAGTTGTCCCTTAGACCCCGTGTGGAGGTACCTGTTTGCAAGCGATAAGCAGGGAAGTGACCCCGAGCAGTTGGAAGCAGTCTGCAGCCACAGGCGTTGTGGTAAGGAAGCGGTCCAGAGTATTCACCGTCAGGCACAGCGACTCGAAGGAAAGGCCAAATTGGCGGTGCACGGGAATCAGCCAGCTGAGCAGCTTACAGCGGGATGCCGCCGTCACCTGCCGGAGGAGGAGGGAGGCGGCCGCCTGAGCCTAGTACCGATTGAGGCTGCTGAAAGGGACCGGCCGAGAAGATCCAAAGAGCTTCCCCAGAAGGAGACAAGAAGGGAAATAGCAAAAATGCTCTGGAAACAAGGAAACGCTCGCCGTGCGTTGCTGTGGTAAGAGCACGAGCCAGGCTAGGCGTCGCGATTCGGGGGGACCTTGTCCATTTACCTCGTGGGGTTCTCTCGGCATTCTCCTGGGTCCCTCACTTTGCGGGTAAAGAAACAAGCCTAGGATTGTTAAATAATTGGCCCGAGGTCGGAAGGAGACCCGATTCGAACCCCCAAGCTGTCTTACTCTGCACACTACCTCGTTCTCACTAATCAGTTTGGAGACTTCGGGGATGTAACTTAAGCCGCCTTGGCCCCACTTTTCTCCACTGGTAAAATGAAGCCGGTAACCTTGCCCGCCGAAGCCCCTTCCCGCCCAGGCAGGGTGCAGGAACTGGGGCTGGCGTGGCTGGCACGCCGTGAAGGGCAGACAGAGTAGAAAAGGAGAAAGCCCGAGAGGAAAAAAGGCGGTGAGAAGCGGCTCTACCAGCGCCTCACTTGTGGCTGCCGCGCCAGCGGCTCCCGCGGGTGGAAGTGGCTCTCCCGCGCCCTGCAAAAGGCGTAGCAGCTCTGGCCATAGTCGCGGAAGGTCTGTAGATCTAGCTGCAGCGAGTGCTGGGCAGGACCTAGTAAGCGGCTGCAACTTCGAGCTGTGAACACCGCTGGACTGTCGGAGCCGTCCGAGCCGGAACTGGGGGACTCGAACAGGTCGCAAACGCCAGAGTCCCCGGGGAGCGGGCACTGGTGCAGCGGTTGCAGCGGCTGCTTCCTGCGGAGGCGTGGGCGCCTGCTCTTCTTCACTGGGGCGCGCAGGTTCTGGTCACTGTCCCTTCTCCCAGCCGGGACGGCGGGGCTCACCGGGCTGGTGGGGCAGGGTGTCACCATGACGGAGCGGGTAGTGGCTCTCCTCGTTCCAAGCTGCTGTAGGCTGAACGCGCGCGCGCGAATGCCCTGGAAGCCAGACCAGACGGCCCGCGGGGCTCTAAGTACTCGGCCTGCCCCTTCCCTCTACCACACCCCCGGCCTCTCACTGGCTGAGCCCTGAGCGGCGCGGGAGCCACGCTTTCCCGGCTAAAGAACCGCTCTGGAGCCCGCGGTTGGCAGCGCTAAGCCTTCGCGGTCGGCGAGGGGGAGGAGCTGCAGCGGCCAGCTCACCGGCCCCACTGCTCCGCGCGTTCCTCGTTACCCCGGCAACCGAGCGGGGGTCGCGGCACGAGCCGGGCGCGCAAAGTCTGGTGGGAGTGGGCGGGGACTAAGCGGCGAAACCAGCTGAGCGCGCGACTCAGCTGAGGAGCTCCACGCGCGAGGAAAAAAACACCCCCCCCCGCGCCGGGGGGCATTCCCAGTCCTAGACCAGATGGTCTCGAGCTCCTTCCTTGTCGCCTCTAATCCAGGTCGGTAATTTTGTAAAGAGCCGTCTCTGAGAGCCAAACGAAATCTCCAGCTAGAATTCTGTTAGGTTTGGACAGTTTTCTTCAGAGACCCAATACTGTAATTAATCGCGTTTGCGGTTTTTAAGGCAGGATCTGAGTAACCAGCATCCCTTCATCCACCGCTGTTTGGGAAGCGAAGCCAAGGAGGCGCACTTTCCTCGGCGCTGCTGCGTTTCTGGGAGCTAATCCACCCATCCAAGCGGGCATTCTGGCTCAAAACAACACTGCCCAGTACCTGCTGGTCGGCAGTCCTGTTGTGCTTTTCCCCTCAATTTGCAACCCAAATCAAATAAGCTGAAACCGAAGCGGGGTGGGAACATAACACTATTCGCGGCGAAATGCTCCCGGCCTATTTGGTTTTAGGTCTTTTGGCTTCGCACAGTGTGTCCCAGGCTGCGCAACCCTTGGTGGTTATTCCATCTTCCGGTTTCCGCTCCTTCAAAGAGAAAGTTTCCTCTGAGAAAGTTTCCTTTGAGGAAGTTTCCACTTCCTTCAGAATCTTACCGAAGAGGACAGAGCTGAAGGAGGCGGGGAGGCGCCCAGACAGGAGAGACTGAGCGGGAGAACTGGAAGTGGCCGTTTCCGGTGGTTTAGTCCGCAGCTTCCAGTCCAGGCTAAAAAAAAAAAAAAAAAAAGAAAGAAAAGAAAAAAACCTGAGTGTTTGCTTCTGAGAGAATCTTCCGGAAAAGGTTCTGATTCTTAGGGAGAGAGGGTACTGGGCGCCTATGTAGTAACAGTGTGAGTCTTAGAGGCAGGAAGCCCGCGTCCCTTCAACCTGATGAACTTTCTAGAGACATTCAAGAGGTGAGGTTACTAGGTGCCACACTAAGAGTAGGCTCAGTCATTCTCACTTCTCCCAGAAGAAAGCTGACAATGTCCATATTCAGAATCTCTGTCCTCAAATTTAGAGGGTATGGAGTAGTGTCTCCTAGAAATTCAGGTGAAAGAAATGAGATGGATTTCTGGTTCTGGTTAATGTTACTCCTATTTCCTTACAACTCTGAACAAGTCTCCAGATCTAAACAATGTGATTTGTAATGAGAGATTAGCTAAGAATCACCTGTATTTCAAGATCCAGGTGTCAGGCCTCCTTGTCTCCTTTCAGGCTATTGTTGGAGCACCCTCATGGGAGCAGCAACTCATCTATGGAGAAGGGTCAGATATCAGGCTTCTTCCTGGAGAAGCTTTCTAGGCGAGGATGAGGGGCCTGGCAGGTCTGATTTTTCAAATCATCTCAGACAGCCATGTGGTTCAGTGGAAAGTGAAAAAGTCAACGCCAGCGTCAAAATCGCCACTTTTCATTTATTGATAATCTTGGACAAGCTATTCAACTTTCTTTGAGCCTCCATTTCCTCATCTTGTTAAATGCAGTTATTAATACTTGGTTTGAGGGTCAAGTGAAATAGGTGTGAAACGAAAAGTCCTTATTGAATATAAAGTAGCCAGGTCAGTAAAGCCATAGTTGTAGAGTCAACAATATTATTATACTGGAGATAACTGGAAAAGCGGTTCCATCATTTTATCCACCTGTGGACATGAGGCTAGTGGTTAAAAAACTGTTGAAAAACTTTGTTTTGCCATAGTTTGCTGGTAGTTAGCGTTAATTCCTAATAGACTATGCCAGAGCATTGACCTGAAGGCTCTGTCCCTCCATCTTTGTGGACTGCCTGCCAGACCAGGTCTAAAACAGCAAGCAAAGTTGTGTGGACACAGCCTTTTGTAATTGATATTTGGGAGTGGGAGGAGTACAAAGAACCACTTACTACAATTTTTATGTTTTTAAAGTGTAAAAAAGAGTTATGACAGAGGTTCTTCAGAGTCTAGGGTTGACAGATAAAACAAGATACCCAGTGAAATTCAAATATTAAACAAAATTTTAGTTTTAAGTATATCAAAAGTTGCATGGGGCATATTTACTAAAATTATTTATTTACCTGAACTTCAGCTACTATGTGTGGCAAAGTTACATGAGAAGATTGTTGTTTATCTAACATTCAGATTTAACTGGGCTTCCTACCATGAAGCCCTAGCTGAGTGCCTGGGGATGCTATATAGTAGGAGCAACCGGTTGTTTTGTCAGTTGATCCTAAAGCATCTGGCAGTTAAACTAAGATAGAATTCCAAGTAGAGGAACAGGATGTGGAATGGTCTGGAAGCATGATTCCTGCTGCGTTCTCAGGCTTACCTGATACAGAGTGGCTGGGCCCCAAAGTTGGGTGAAAGAGAAGTAGGAGAGATGATAGCTAATGCTTATATAAACTTTATTACATGCCAGGTACTGTGTTAAGTTCTTTATCTCTATCATATTCATTTAGTTTGTACAATAACTCTGTGAGATACATTCTATTGTCCCCATTTTACAGACAAGTAACAGAGGCATAGAAAGGAAAAGTAACTCACCTAAGGTCAAGAAAATAAGAAAGGGCAGAAATAGGAATCTAGCTCAGCTAGCTCCTTGCTTCATAGTCCCCATACTATTCTGCTTCAACAATAACATGTAGTTCCTTGTAGGCAACATTATGTTGCCTAAAAATCTAAAAACATAAACACGATTGAAGGGTAAGTAGAAGTGATCAGGTTTTACTGCCCTCCCGCCATTAGAGTCTATGAGTGACTTCTATGAGTGACTTCCATGCGCACCTGATGGTGGCACCTGGAGCAACGTGTGGGCTGTGTGAGTGGACACCCCTGAGCCCAGAGCCCGAGAGCGTAAGGATGGGGCAGAGGACCATGTGGCAGAGGCCTGTGCAGCGGGGCGAGGTAGAGACCAGTGGGGAGAGCTCAAGAGAATGGCACAGAGCCCAGAAAGAGTTGATTGGCCAGGGGCTGGGAGGCCCAACGCCTCTTGGCCCCCAGGACTCCCTGCCAGCCCTGAACCTGGTTGCCTCACTACAAATGGTGGGAAAAGAACCCTAAAAGCCTGAAAAAGCCACTGAGGGCTCATCGACTCTTCTTTGCCCTCTCCTGAATCAGTAGAGAACCTGCTGCTTGCCTTCCTGGCACTACAAGTATGCTTAGATTTTTCCCTGAAGCCACTGAAGAGTATAACCAGGAAAGAGAGGTAATTTGTTTTTTGTTTTAAAAGATTACCCTGGCTGATGTGTGGAAAATGGCTTTGGAGGGAGCAAGACTAGAGGCCATGTAGGTGTGCAGTATTTGTGGTATGAACAATATAGTCCAAGATAAGGGCTGCAGGGTCTGTTCTGTTTTCTTTTTCTTTTTTTTTTTTTAAATTTTTTTTATTTATTCATACAGAACTGGGGTACAGGCCAGAGATGTGGAGGGTGAGAGGCTTCACCAGAGACAGAGCGGGGAGCAGAACAGGCAGATAGACGAAGTACACTGCTGAGGGGAGCAGCGGACGGGTCAGGAGAGGTCTGCCGCGCCATGTGGTCACCTCCGGGGCAGGCGGGGATTGAACTCATGCGGAAGTGGCTTTAGCTTCTTAGTGCTGTGCTTTAACCCGCTGCGCCACCAGGGAGGGCCCTGTTTTCTTTTTTTAAAAAGCATTTATTTATTTATGCATACAAGAACTGGGGTACAGTCCAGAGTTGCCAAGGGTGAGAGGATTCACCAGAGACAGAGTGGGGAGCAGAAGAACAGGCAGATCGACTGGAATACACTGTTGAGGGAAGCAGTGGCTGAGACTGGAGAGGTCAGCTGCATCTTGTGGGTCAGCTCTCTGGCCCCCTGGTCAGGGATTGAACAGTGGCTGCAGAGAGCTTCATAGAGCAGCGCTTTAACGCCTTGCACCACCAGGGAGGGAGGGCCCCTGTTCTATTTTCTAATCTCTCTAGGACCGCAGCCCAATCTATAGGCATTAAGTAAACCTAAAATATATTAAAAACGTAAAACCTGGCCCTCCCTGGTGGTGCAGCGGGTTAAAGCACAGCACTGAGAATCTAAAGCCGCTTCCGCATGGGTTCGATTCCCGCCTGCCCTGGAGGAGACCACATGGCGTGGCAGACTTCTCCTGACCCGCCCGCTGCTCCCCTCAGCAGTGTACTTCGTAGATCTGCCTGTTCTGCTCCCCACTCTGTCTCTGGTGAAGCCTCTCGCCGCCCCTGAGCCTCTGGCCTGTACCCCAGTTCTGTATGAATAAATAAATACATCTTTTAAAAAAAAAAAAAAAAACAAAAACAAACGTAAAACCTAATTAAACCTCCACTTCTATCATGAAAGCTGCTTAACAATGATTTGACCCTGCTTATTTATTTGAACCTGCAGGTGAGGTTATGAAATTAAGAGAACATTAATGTAATGGAATCAGAGTTGTCTTGCTGTTATTTGCTTTTCCAGTTTGCCGCTTCAGCTTCAGGGAGAAGCCCCCACTGTCACCAGGCCCAGCTCTAAGATTGGATTGCATTTACTTACAATACCTTGTTTCAGCAAACAAAGCAAATGGTTTGCTACCTAGATATCCAATAACTTGTTAACATCTCAAATGATCCT